AACCCTGGAAAGGGGCGTGTGTTCGAATCCCAGCACTACCAGGCTGGAACCGAGCCATGTTCCAGCTGCTCCAACTATGCCCGTGGGTGTAGAAGCCCTGAAGCCTGGAGGTAGCCAGCTCCAGTCCAGCAGGCAGGGCATCGGAGTATGAATCAGGAGCCCCGGATTCCCCCCCAGCCACATTAAACCATCAGTCTATTGACCCATCACGTCCAGAGGCCTGGGGGGAATTGAGGCAGAGAGAGAGGAGAAGCGGCTCAGGTGAGCCCACTCAAATTAGGGGCAGAGTCAGGACTAGAATCCAGCCCTCCGGATTCCCAGCCCCGTGCTCCTATCCACCGGACCATCCTGCCACTCCCCGGCACCACGCGATCACCCACTCACCAGCCTTCCCAATGGGGAGGAACAGCAGCACCAGGAAAAGCAATTTCCCATCTGCCTTCATGCTGCCGCCACGCTGAGCCGTCTGCAGACGTCGTCGCCCCACCGCTTCTGCCGGGGGGCATTTCCGCTCGTAGTTATATACCCGGCTCCTTCCCTGAGCGCACTCGCATCTCCTCTGCGGCAGGGGGAGAAGGGGCTCTCGGGAGGCGGAGGTGTGAGGTTTGAGAGGAGAGGAGCTGCTACACAGCATGTGCTCACCTCGCTACCGCCATAAAAACAGGAACTCAGTGGTCAAGAGCGAGAGTGTAAAAAACAAGCCTAATCCATTACATGTTTCCTGAACACTTTGGAGCCAGATTCCGACACCTCTGTGACATTCTACCCCTCAACACCCCCCCGCACCACATAGCCGAATCCCCCAGCCCACACGCCCTGACAGAAGTAAGAGATGTAAACTCCTTCCTTGCAGTTTCCAGCCGCTTTTAACTCCCTCTCTATTGCACTCTTCGACCAGGAGCACATCTTTAGGCACAAACAGCTGCTGAAACAGGTGCTGGGGCCTGACTAGATTACAAATCTGGAACCATTCTCCCCGATCCAGCTAGGTTTGTAGCGTAGAATCCGATCGCCCAACCCCCGTCACCTTGTCACACCCATGCGCCAGCCACTGCACAGCCCTGGACCTTGTCACGATAGAGATATGCCGCTACCTTCATTTTCGCAACCATTTATGTGATCGACTGCAGCATGCCCCTTTGACCGCCTCCCCGGCGCCCAGCCCATGCAAGAAGCTCTGTTGGTGCTTGTGGCATGTAATAAAACAATTCCTCTCCCGGAGCTCTGCTGCTCTCTTTCTGGAGATATAAAACCAAGGTCTTAACCACCCAATGCTCACTGAAGAGTCTTAACTGCAGGGAGCACAACATCCCAATGAGCAAATTGGGGTGGAGCCAACGCCCAGGTGCTAGCAGAGATCTGAAGGAAGGGGCTCAGGCTTTTCTCTGGGTTTTTAGGTCCACGGTACTTAGCTAGTGGACAGAACAAGGGGATGGGTCTCCAGAGACCTAAATTCTATTCCCAGCTCTTCCACTAGCATGCTAGTTGTGTCCTCGGGCAAGTCACGCCCCCTCCCTGTGCCTCAGTTTCCGCATCTACAAGATGGGGATAATGAGATTGACCTCCTTTGTAAAGCGCTTTGAGCTCTGGTGCTGAAAAGCACTAAATAAGGGCTAGGGGTCATTACGACTTCCAATGAAATCACAGACTAACTAGTGCTCACAACTCCCCCTCCCCTTCAAAACAGGTGAGCATTGTTACACCCATTTCACAGATGGAAAGAAATTGAGGCACAAGCCTATTTTACACCAGCAGTTTTAGGGACATCGCCATCTGTTGCTATCCACACTGGGAACGGCTAGTGCAGACAGGGCTCCCAGGGGCCTGGGGTGAGCTGCATCAACGTAGCAAAGCATTGGGAGACGACCAGTTAGTTACCCAGGGCAGACACGGCCAATGAAAAGTTGGGTGGGGTTAGGGGGGTGCCAGGGTCAGAGCTGAGAATAAAACTAATTATTGGCTCCCAGCAGGACCTGATCTTATCCCTACCCAGCCTCTCTCGTAACAAAGACTCGGCCGTTCAGGTTTCTGAGGAATGGATTTTAATAAGAGCTTATTAAATAATGAGATTTACGAGCAGCCTTGGGCAGCGGCGCACATTCCATATAGATTCCCACTGCATTTTAATAGCAAACTTCCACCAGCAACAACTTTATTTTCTAAGCCTTCTCACGGTCGAGTCTAGGCGCAAAGCCAAGCAGATCAGTTCACTGCCAACACCACCACGAGGCCCACGGCAAACCCCGGATGCCAAATGAACAGGGCAAGACACGCCGCGTTCCCCCCCTGGCAGGAATCAACCAAGGCCAAGTCCACGGGGCTCAGTTTCTCCATGCTAAGTCCCCGTTGCTATCGGCTGACTCTGCTTTTGGCGCTGGTCGCTTTGGAGGGGCGCACAGCGCTCGCCCTGCCAGCTGGAGGCATGCTGCTTTTCAAGCTCTCCAGCAGCCTCCGCTCGAAGAATTTGTTTCTGTAGTCGAGTTCGTTAAGATGCCTTAAAACCAGAGGCACCTGCTCTTTCTCCACATCCACGTAAACCGGGATCATCTTCGTCCCCTCCTGCTCTATCACATGATGCAGGTTCCACTCCACGACGCGCTGACACCAGGGGTCGTCCAGCGAGCTGGCCGACAAGATGACGATAGCGACCCTGCTAGCTTGGATGACCTCGGTGGCCGTCATGAGAACGGACGTCCCTGCCACTTGGTCCTGGTGTTCGGCATAACCCTGGAGGCCTTGCTTTTTCAGCATCATGGAGATGCAGGAAGCAATATCGTCGTCACGGAGGCAGTACCAGATGGAGAAGTCGTAGGTAAACCTGGAGGGCGAGGGGGACGTCATGCCAACAGTCACCATGGGCACCTGAGACGGTGACACACAGCTTAGGAAAAGCCAGCGGCTGCCCGGAGCCCTCGCTTACCCCAGCCAGGTCAGGTTCAAGCTTGCCATTTGGAAATTGGCATCAGGTTCTCCTAATGGCTCAACGAAACGCCTGGTCCAAGAGTCCCGTCCGAACATGAGCAACGAGATCAGGGCTGTCCACTGGGAAGGGGTTACGGAGGCAAATCCTGTAGCATTTTTAGCTTTAAAGATGAAACGCCCCCCTCACATACCCCCTAGCGTTTCCAATGAGCATGAGGGGCGATTCTTGGGAAGCTGCATTCATGAGGCGTGGCGGGTTCTTGGAGATTCCAGGCAAGATGCAGCAATGCCAGATCTTCCATTAAATCAAAGCACACCCCGGGGTTACCTGGCTGGGTGGCTTTCTGGCCCTATGATTTGGATACAGAAACAAGAAGCCACACTGGGGACGTCTGTGAAAGTCTAACGCACATTGAGAAGTGCGTCAGGACTAGGAGGTGGGGCTTGTTACTGTCGAGAGCAAACCCTCCTGGGCCAGCTTTTTGTCTCTGCTCCCAATCTCTCGGCATTGCAGAGAGGCCAGACAACCTCACAAGGCCTTTTCCTTAATTTCCACGATATTCTGTTCCAAAGTCGCGCCCGCCTGCTTCAGCTCTTCGCACTTCGCCTTCAGCAGACTGCAGGCCTTCTGCAGCCGCTGGTTCATCTCTACGTAAGAATGACTCTGCTGGTACAGGCGCTCGCTCTTCACTTCAGACTCCTCCTTCTTCCTAGGGGCTGGCAAGTCTGGGATGGGGAAATGCGGGAGGAAAAGACAGAGAATAACATGAATGTAAAAGGGGTAGTAGTCTCTTCATGTAAAGCTAAGTTACCTTTTGGATCAGGTACACCTTCAGGTCTGTTTATAGCCTCAAAATGGCACAGCACAGGTAGCGGCAGGGGATGTTTCCCTACCATGCTCTGACCAACGCGCCTTACTTACGAACAGGGGAGGATACCTGTACAGGTGAAAGGGAAGGTCAGTCTCCAGGCCCCATGAGGTCTATGACTTCCCTGAAAAAATTGTCAACAAGAGCACCAATCACAGCTGTGGATTTTGGGCTATAAAGAGGTGTCCTCCAAGAACAGGACTGAGACCCAGCAATTCATGTCATCCAAGCCAACAAACTGGTAAGATGGCAGCTTTCTGGGCTAATTTGTGCAATGCTCGCTGATGGAGATTTTATAACATAGGTAGGATTGGA